ACATATTAATTTTGACTACATCCGCTTTTTTTTTAATTCATTTATAACTCACGCATGAGTTTTGATCAAAACAATAATACATGTACTAAAATGATACGTATTATTAAAATACAAAACTCTTCTTAAATTAATAAATGTTTATTTACCAACAAATTTATAAATTATTCATTTATCGATAAATAATCTCATTAAAATAATATATTTTTCTTAATTTTAGCAATATTACTTTATAGAAGTTTTACTGTTATTATTTATGTCTTTATATACATTAGGATTAGGATACAGTCCTCCGTCCATATGCACCTAAAATCGAGATAATCTCAGTTTATGGCACTTAAACAGGATTCATCTCCAGTTGCTTCATCTATGATATGACTGATCGCCCAAGAAATTTCAATTCTTATAAGAATATCACTACTAACAATCAATATCACCACAAAACACAGAATTTGATGGGTTGTGATTGAAGAAACCATGACTATTATGGGATGTTTATTTCTTATATTCGTATCTGATTCTGAATCATGATTAATGATTTTTTACAGTATTTTTCTCTCATAAAAATTACACATGAAACGAAAATAATTCTGAATTATGATTTTAAATCCATAAACCTTACGTCCACTTACTGATTAGAAAGCAAAAAAAAAAAGTTTTTTTCCTTTTTCTTTTGTTCTTTTTTAATCTTCACCTGCTTCAAGGGGCCACCACAAATGGTCCATGGGCTCTTCTCCATAAGGTCCAGCTACAAGGGTTGAGCCTAGTGGTCAGGTTCTTTGGGCCTTTGGGGTTATACTTATCTTCTTTCTAAGGTCATTGTACTCCCCAAACTTTTCATTTTTTTTTTCACAAATTGCACCCTCAATTTTGAATTTTAATAATTAAATTTAATACCCTAAATTTGTCTAACAGTTATAATTTGACCCAAATTAATAACACCGTTAAAATTAGTGACAAAAATACCCATGTGCAACTCACATTTTTGGCACATTACTCCTAAACTTATGGCGAATCACTTGAACTTTTTAATTATAGTAATTAAACCTCCTCTTTTCGTCACCAACGTGTTATCAATTTAGATCACAGTGTAATGGTTTGACAAGTTAGAAGATTAATATTTAAAATTAAAATTTTAGGAGGTAACTTTTCAAAATGCGAATAATTTAGGGGATAAAAATCCGAAAGAACCTATATCTAAACATTGAGGATTTGTACAATCATTTCCACTCTTTAAATATTAATTTAACAGCGCCAGAATTTTACGAGATAGGTAAAAAACTAAAAAAAAAAAAAGATTAAAAAACGACACGTTGCCTAACCATTAATCTTTTCTCAGGGCCCGTTTAGTTCGTTGATTGAGCCGTTTAGTTTGTTGATTCGAGTTTTTAATTTGAGTTGAGATGTGACTTTATGTGAGAACTTTTTACTGTAGCAAAAAAGTTAGATGTGACTGTTTCTGATAGCTTTTTACTGTAGCAAAACTCAAATTCTAAACTCGAATCGGTGAAATGAACATGACCTATTTCCCCTCTTTTGGTATGTATTTTAAGTTTGTGCATTTACATGTCAGTGAAAAAGGTCAAAAAATTAACTAGTAGTAAAACTGTAAAGTCTAAAAGGAAAAAATAAACAAAAAAAAAACCATTTACGTCCAACCTATAACGTTATAATGACATGTTTACCTGATTGAAGAATGAGAGTAAAAAATTAGAGTTAATTTCATGTTTACTTGTTCTTTTTTATTCTGAAATGGGAGTGAGATTAGTAAGCCCCACTCAAATTTGAGATTGAGGAAGGAGATTGACACTCTCATGCCCCCCATTGAGATTGAGACTCTTATTCCTAATATTAATATTAATTTACTATTATACCCTTATTTTACTTATAAATACACAATTAAAAATAAAATTCAAAAAATAATAAATGCAACATATATTTATTATTTTATTTGCCTAATATTATAATATTAGCATAATTATTGTAACTTTAATATAATAAATATGTACTTTATTTTTTAGTAAATTAATAATATATTTTATTTTTTAACACTTATTTTTATATTTTAAATAGTTGTACAATTTATATTTATTATTTTCATACCCAATTATTACACTAAATATTTTAATTATGATTAATTTTAATATAATAAATACACAATATATTTTTTAAATTGAAAATATCAATTTGATTTAAAGGGTATATTAGTATTTTTATACTTTTTCATTCAAATTCTGGGTGTAAGTAAACGTATGAATGAGATTTGGAATGACTCTAATTCTGAATCCTATCACTATGTAAACAGCTTATTCTGACTCTGATTTCTCACTCCGAATCTTACCTATTCCGAATCTTGTCCACTTCAATTCATACTCATTCTGATTATGCGTAAGTAAACCTACCATAAATTTTACGCTCAAAATCTTACAAGGGAATATACAATGTAGCACTTGAGAGATAGCATAGCAGTGCCTATCCAACACGGCAAGGAAAAGATATGCCGGAACGCAAACGCAAAATCTATCATATCATCTCCGTGCCACTAAAAGGAAATTGGAAAATTTCGAAAATCAAAAGAACTGTCCTTAATTTTCATTTCGTATTTTAGATCTCATGAAACTTGGTGCGAAGAGAAAAAGCACATTGCGTATAAATAATGACGGAGTCAGTCTTTTATTTTAGTGGGAGTGTATATTAATTTTTTTTAACAACTTATCTTAATAAAAGCATATAAAAAAATATATTTATTTTAATAAAAACATATATCATTTTAATAGGAATTTAAGTGTAAAATTTTTAAATTTTTAAAGATAATATTTTTTTTATAAAAATTTAAGTAGAGATAGTAACCCCCATTAAACTGTATTTAAATCCGTCACTGATGTGAATTTAACGTTAAAACTTATAAATTTTAAACATTACAGTTACGTAAATTAAGATAGATTAGTGAAATTTGCGTAGACACTTATAAAATAAGAGACTACAACACGGTGCCACAAAAGCATCATAAAGGGCTGTTAAAGTGATGCCACATTGAGTAGTTTTTTTTTTTTTCTTTTTTTTTTTTCCTCTCATTTTTTGACCTAAAAACTTTTCTGTTGTTTTGTTTATTTTCCCTCCCGAGCTGAGCTGGACGCGGATAACAAAGAAAACATAAATATTGTCATGCACGTTCTAGAGCCGAAAGTGCTTTTTTCTCAACGCAAGCCAAAAAACAAAACCCCAAACCAAAAATTGAAAAAAAGGGCAAAAATGAAAAACAATTCCTGTGTGCCCATTATTCTCGAACGCAACAGATCACCTCGGGCCACACCACACCCGACAAAAAACCAAATTCATTGTTTCCAATAATTACACTCTTTATTTCAATAACCAGAATGTTATGCACATAAATCCTACTTAAATGCCACCTTAAAAACAAAACAATTACAATTGACAAACACATCACGTGTACATTTATGACTTACAGTCAATAAATACACACATAGACGACCAGCAGAATTACACACATCACACGCACGATTAATTAGTCAATGACTTGGTGATTGTCTTTGAATGCATTGTTCTAAAATGTTTACATTTTAATCGTAATTAACACACTTTTAATTAGTATAATTTTTTAGTTAAAGCACATTAATTAAATATAAAAGGTGAAAGTTTAAGACTCGCACATTTTGATTGATATTTATCTTTTTTTTTTTCTGAGAAAAAACGTCACATCCATGCATAGAATCCATATAGAAGAATAGTAAATGCAAACCAGGTAATTCCCAACCACCCCTACAAAGTCTTCAACCAAAACTGGAGCCAAAAAAGTCTTCAGCAAATAAAAATAATAATAGAGTTTTTACGGTGTTTTATCCTTTTTAAAAATATCAGTGTTTTTTATTTTTTTCAACTGTTAAATCTGATTAAAATTATACTAAATTAAAAAAGTATTTAGAACAGATAAATTTTGATATAGATTTAACGGTTAAAAAATATGAAACACCGGTGTTTCAAAAAAGACTGTTAAATCTGATTAAAATTATACTAAATTAAAAAAGTATTTAGAACAAATAAATTTTGATATAGATTTAACGGTTAAAAAATATGAAACACCGGTGTTTCAAAAAAAAAAAAATATTAAAAAAATATCCAATAATAAAATATAAATAAAAATAAATAAACCACTATTTGAGTTTCTTTCTCATGATTTTTAGAGCTGCAAGTTTAGACAAATTTAAACAAACCAACCTAAAACTTGCCATTTTTAGTGATCACTACCTGTTTAAATGTTCGAGCTGGTAAGAACTCCTTGGCTAGATTGGGCCAAGATTTCAAGCTCAAAAATTTGTTTAGGCTGACTCGAACACTATTTTTTTTAAATACTTTATAAAGTATGAGTCGACCCGGCTCGACCTTAGTCTAGTGGGCTTTTGAGCTGAACTAGACTGACCATTTCTTAACGCTCAACCAAACTTAATTTTGTCGTTCTGGACAGGGTGACCTGCACTTACAGTTTTAGTAGTTTTTGTGTAGAATTCAATTAGGTAATTTTCTATTAGTGGCACTATAATTTTTAAATTGACGAATGATGAAATGATAATGAATGTTTCTTTGGTGATCCCTTCTTTTTTTAAACACCAGTGTTTTATATTTTTTTAGTCATTAAATTCGATTAAAATCATATCAGATTAAAAAATATATAAAATAAATAATTTTTAATATAAATTTAACGACTAAAAAATAAAAAATATCAGTCTCCTTAAATAAAAGACATCACCGGAAAAAGTTCTTTTTTTTATTTGGTAATAAAAAAAACTCAAAAAAAAAAAAGAAAAAAAAAAAGAAAACAAGAAGTGAATCAAAAGTACCAAACTGAACCGTATACATACAAAAGACATGGTACGAATTTTTACTCATGTGTTTCCCATACACAACAAAAGGAAAATAAAATATAAAGAAACCCAAAAGGGTGAAAAACATAAAAATAAAAATAAAAATAAATGAGGAGAGAGAAGAACAGGAAAGAGAAAGAAGGCGCTACACTGATGAGTCTAGAGAGAGAAAGTGGAGAGATGATCAAAAGGGGAGGTGGAGGAGCAGAAAAGGAGGAAAATTTGGGAGAAAAGTTGCGGAGAGGAATTCTGGTGGGGGAGAGAGGCGGGCCCTGTACTCCAGTGGTGTCCTCATGGAGACTTTTTTCACTCTCTGATCCCCACCACACCATAATTAACCAACACCCTTTTTCTAAATCCGCCATTTTTGATACTTCTGATCATCATCATCATCAAACTATTCAACAACAACAACAACAGCAACCCTCTGTGAGAAAGCTCGCGGCCGCTCTCTGGGAGCTCCAGCACTACCTGCCGCTTGCTAAAATGCACCGGGGTGCGCACGTTAATGGTGGCGGCGGTGCGGGTGCAGCTGCTAACGGTGCTCCTCCCCCTAGGCTGCGAAACCTCCATCACCATCACCATCAACGTCATCACAGTCATCATCATCTTCATAAGGACAAGGGTCTTGACCTCTCCAACTTTCTGGCTGATAACTCTCCCAGTTCCCCTGACCAGGTTCTGATATGATCAAACTCTTGGGTTTTCCCGTTTGGGTTTAGATTGATTTTTGATGTTTTTTTTTTCCCATTTGGGTTTTTTCCTGTTTAAAACTTTGAGCAATTAATTGTGTCTGTGAAGCTTGTTTTTACTTTCAAAGGCATGTAATTTCAAGCACTTTTAACATGTTCAAAGCTTATCAGTGAATTAATGATCTGTTTTAGAAATAAATACTGTTCGTAGATCTCCTTTCTAAAGATGTTTTCTTTCTCCTGCTCGCATTGATATTGTTATAAATTTATCACGTTTATTTTCTTCCTTGAAGCTTTGATATATAGTCCTTCTAGTGAACTTCTTGTTCTGTTTTTGATTTTCCACTATGAGAAACTTCTAATATTGGGGATTAAGTTGGAATTAGATTGAACTACTTGAGAAGGCTGCTACAAAATTTTAATTCTTCCATGTCAGTTTTGTTCTGCAGACCCCAAAACAAAAAACAAAAAAACAAAAAAAAAAACCAAGTAATAGGAAGCTCCTAAAGGCTTAAACGGTGAATTATGTATTTGGCAGGTATTCAAAGTACATTTCTTCCATTGATCAACCATTTTTTTCCCATTAACTCTTGGCATGTAATTGAGTCCGTAACACAATATTTTGAGCATTGGTCTTTTGAAAAGTACAATTTGCTATATTTCCAAGTTGGAGAATATCTTCCCCACAACTGATTTTTCTCCAATTGCCATGCCAGCCAGCTAGTGCAAGCAGTTTGAGGAGGCATCTTGTCGCATCATTGATACAACACCATCGAACAATTGAAAGAAACAACCACGCACTTCAGCCTGTATCTCCCGCAAGTTATGGCAGTTCTATGGAGGTACGATTCTCTACTTTAGACCAATATCCTATAAATCTTGTTCAATTGTATCAACCTCCTCTGTTCATTTGAATTAACTTAAAAAGCTTAAATTTACTCATGTATTTTTTCAGATTTGGTCTTCGAATGCCTAAATTTGATATGGTCGTTATGTGCCGTGCCATCATATTTACCATGGTTTCACATGAATTTCTCTTTCAGGTGGCACCTTATAACCCCGCAGTTACTCCTACCAGTTCTTTGGACTTCAAAGGAAGGATTGGTGAATCGCATTATAATCTTAAAACATCGACGGAACTTATTAAAGTACTGAACAGGATCTGGAGCTTGGAAGAACAGCACGCGTCTAATATGTCCTTAATAAAAGCGTTGAAGACCGAGCTGGACCATTCCCGTGTGAAGATCAAAGAGTTGCTTCGGGAACGACAAGCTGATCGACATGAAATGGATGATTTGGTTAAGCAAATCACGGAAGATAAACTGGTAAGGAAGAGTAAAGAACAGGACCGGATTCATACTGCAATTCAGTCCGTGAGGGATGAGCTAGAAGATGAGAGGAAATTGAGGAAACGGTCAGAGAGCCTGCATAGGAAACTAGCTAGGGAGCTTTCTGAGGTAAAATCTACTCTTTCTGGTGCTTTGAAAGAGCTCGAAACTGAGAAGAGGTCGAGGAAGTTGTTGGAAGACTTGTGCGATGAGTTTGCTAAGGGCATAAAGGACTATGAACAAGAGGTACATGCTTTGAAACAAAAAGCTGACGGTGATTGGACCGGAAGGACTGATCGTGATCGGTTGATCCTCCATGTATCCGAATCATGGCTTGATGAACGGCTGCAGATGCAGCTAGACGAAGCTCGGTGTGGTGTTTCTGAAAAGGACTCAATAGTGGAGAAGCTAAGGCTTGAAATAGAAACCTTTCTTCAAGCTAAAGATGTGCATGCTACTAAAACTGAAAATCTGTTGCCAAGAGAGCGTCGGAATTCGCTGGAATCTGTCCCTCTAAATGAGGCTGTGAGCGCACCTCACGATGTGAACGATGATGATGATTCATTAGGCAGCGGTTCACATTGCTTTGAGCTTCAAAAGCCAAGGGATGCCGAGTTTAAGCCTTGTGGAGATGAAGCTGAGGATGATCGTCTGCATGAACCAATGAAGTCGGGCAACACGAAGAAGAAACTCGAGTCTGGTGAAAGGATAAAAGGGCGTACTCCGTCTAGTTTACAAGTTAAGTTTGAAGAAAAAATGGCCAGAGCAGTGTCAGGGGAGGGGAGCAAAAAGTCTCAGCTGGTAAATACAGAGCAGGGAAAAGATGAGGAAGGGAAACCAACTGAAACAAGCACATCACAAATGGCTGAACGACGCCAAGTAACCGAAGATGCAAGTTATGAGAAAACAAACAGACATGACGAAACGCAAGGGTTGAGTTCTAATTATACGGTCGATGAGCTTATAAGAAGCCAATATTTGTTGTCAGAAGGTGGAAATCTACACCTTGAGAGTAACAATAACGGCGAGGCTTCCTGCAGTAACTTAGGATGGAGGAATCAGGCAAGCCCAGTTCGACAGTGGATGGCAAAACTTACATCCCCGGATCTCGACATACCGGAGTCTTCCTCAAAACTGCCTTCAGGTTTGAAGGACAACACTCTGAAAGCAAAGCTTCTTGAAGCGAGATCAAAGGGTCGGCGGTCCCGTTTGAAAGCTTCAAAAATTTCCTGAAATCTTGAGAGGTATAAAAGCTGATGAAGTCTGCTATTCAGGATCAATGGTTGGAGATTTTAGTCCTGTGAATATAGGCCCTGGTACTTAGGTTCTTAAGTATCTTTGTGCTGCTGTTGTTATTAGTCTATATTATTATAGCTTCATTTCTCGTCTGTAATTTTGGCAATTCAAGTCTCTGTATATGAGTTTAACGTTGTTCCTTACACATAAAAGAGATTCAAGGCCAACTACAATTTTGGATACAGTATTTGACTTACTATCGTCGTTTCGGATTTAGCTGTGGTTTGTTATTCACCATTCATTTGGTTATTTCGTAGATTTTTCTTTTTTTGTGATAAGTATTATTTCTAGATTTACCTACATCAGAAAATGCCTTTATGTTTGGTAGACAAGTGAGTCAAAGACTATCAAAATACAACATAGATTGCGAACATAGCCTGCTTGAAGACAATATATTACTATTGTTGTTATCGTTATTATTAGTGTTTTTTTTTTTTTTTTTTTCAATAAAGGAAGAAACAAAAAAAAAAGAAAAAAAAAAGCAGAAGCAAAAAGACATCCTTGCAAGAGGAATATAAAACACCTCACCCGAAAAACAAGCATGCACTAGAGTCCAACGATACAATTTACACATTACATTACGACATTGTCGGTCTTCCCCCACCTATTTCCTCACCTAAATAACGACGAAAAGTCGCACGTGAGAAAATGCTATCAAAACTTATCCTCGAAAACTTTCTTTTTTGTTTTGGAAAGATTACTTAGAAGAGAATGCTTAACAGATTTTTGTTCCGCCCAATACTCCGAGCTACAATCTCGCTCTCAGACGGAGGCACTGAATTTAGTGTAAATGCCTGTGAAATTTAAATTTTAACTCAAAATCATAAATTTGAATGCGTGAATCAAATGGTCCTAAATATCCGTCACTTAAATATATTTTTGAATTGTTTCTATTAAATTAATTTCTTTTAAACGTGTTATCAATTCATCTTATCTTGTATTTGGGTCCTTATTAAAATATATATTTTTTTTTCAATTTGTCTCTACTTAAATATTTTTTCTTATAACACTCTAAAATACACACACACACACACACACATATATATATATATTTTTCAAATGTAACCATTAGTAATAATATTTTCTCTACTTGCCCTGCTAAAAAAATATTTTTATAATATTTTTCTACTTAAACATGTTTTTCCTGCATCCATCTCAAATATTATTTTCTCATACCAATGTCGTAAATTATTTAGTATCTGTTCCCTCTAAAATATTTTTCTTTTTTTTTTTTTGAAGAAAATGCGTCCTGAACTCTTAAAATATAACAAGTAAAATAAAAAACTAAATTATAAAAAAATTGTGCAGCCACGTATCGAAAAAATTCAACATCCTGAAACATGTACCCTCCAACTAGTTTGTATTTTACATATATATATATATATATAAATATATATATATATACTTTTTTTTTGCTGACATTGCGTTTTATAGATATGTATCCCAATAGCATATCTTTAATGACGATATTAGTCTGTATACAATCATTAGGATAACTACATTATCATTTATCATTACGACGGTGATAAGAATGTATTATTTCTAATTTAATAATAAAATGATAAATTAATCAATATCATGATCCCACATTTTTAGGGATTGTTGGCGAATCAGTATGTTTCATACATTTATTGTCCCATTTTTCTTATTTTTTTGGCTTTCTCTCGACCACTAATTTGTCATGTCATTTAAATTTAACAATCTCACTACATAAATAGAAATTAAATACTAAAAAGAATGGTTTTATTCACACCCTCTTTTTACTCTCCACACCACTCTCATATAAAAATTTCTTATTACAAAAAGGCCCTTAAATAAAATCACAAAAAAAGACAATAGATTTAATTATATAATTAAATTTTATTATGAAAGACAAACTACTAGAGAATTTTTTTTCTCCCTACACACTCCACATATTATATTCCTGAATTATAAACTATAACTATTTCAAAAATCCACATCAAATAAATTTCACTTTTCAATGACTATTCTAAAGTTACATAGATATCTGTTATATGAAGTTTTTTATTTATTTATTTTTTTTTACCTTTTGTTTTTCGTTTAGTGTTCATATTTATTTACTAATCAATTTTTTAAGCAAATCATTTCACTTTACGTTTTTAATCAATTTACGTTTTTTTTATTTTTTTTCATTTATCTTTTCATTTATAATGTTTTGTTTTCTTTTTTTCTTGTTTTCCTATTGAACTTAAAAAAAAATCTCTATTCCTAAAGTTTTTTTTTTAAAAAAGATATAAATAAAAGATAATATTAAAGTAATAATTTAGTTTATGTTGATTGTATAGTTGGAAATGGTTGTGGAGAGTAAAGAGGTGGGTGTGGAGAGAAAAAAAAGGGGTGTAAATAAAACCATTCTTAATAATTATGTGGAAATATTTAGAGGTAATATTAGAATAATAGGGGTGTGTTGTTAAAAGGAGTGTAGAGAGTAAAAAAGAGGTGTGAATAGAAATACATAAACAATTTATGAGGTGTCAAAATTTAATTAGAAGGACAATTAACGAAATAGGAAAATGAGATATTAAATCTTGCTTCCATTAGAAGTGTACTCTAAAGATAATTTTGTCATTACAAACTATCATTTTGTTTTATTTATAATATTTTAAAATTGTTGCCATATTTCTACTATGATAGTCTAATTTCGTTACTAGTTTGTTAGTGTGTTAGACATAGGTAACTTTAATAGATAGATAAACGCAAAAAGAAAAATAGTGTAGAAAAGGCTATGCTGAACTAATTGTGTGTTTTTTATGCAAGGAAAAAAGAAAAATGAGAATCCAACTATTTTGCACTCTGAAGAAACGAAACAGTGTTGAATAATGAATATGGAATATATACTTGGCCATCCAATTAGTAATTTATTTTTTTTCAAAAGAACATTTCGAAACTAAAGTATATATTTTCCTTAAACTCAAAGGAGCGATCAATACAACAGGAATATATTGGTTTCTTCTAACAAATAATCAGATCCTCCTTTTGTTAATTGTTGCTGAAGAAAAGCACATTAACATATGCATATAATATAAATGAACATCCTAATAGCTACAACTACAATACTTATAAGAGCGTATACATTTATCTAAAATCCCCATAACCTTTCATTTCAAAAAGCTACAACTACAATACTTATAAGAGCGTATACATTTATCTAAAATCCCCCTAACCTTTCATTTAAAAAAAAAATAAATAAAAAGACGCAAATCTTTCCTCCTCCTAATTCTCTCATCCCTCTCTCTCTCTCTCTCTCTCTCTCTCTCTCTCTCTCTCCTAATTCTATCATCCCTCTCTCTCTCTCTCTCTCTGTCGGCTTAAAAATACAAAGATGGAGCAAGTGCATGAAGCTCAAAAATTAACTGGATTCAGCACCCTCCTTAGGTCAAGTGAGTTTGGCGACGTCAATCTTGTATTCCCTGGGAGAAGCTACTCTACCAAGCCATTGAAAGGTGAATGGAGCAAGTGCTGCATGGTAAGCGACCGCTTTCTGACATGAACACAAAATGCAGGAAAATCGCCCAGTTAGGTGATCACCGAGGCTACTTTCTGGTAGATTCTTATCGTAATTATTACGTACGACGATTAGATCCCTTTACCGTTATCAAGGAACTACAAAGCAAGATCAAGATCTCTAATCATGATTGCTCTCTCTCTCTCTCTCTATTCATTCCTGAAAAAAGAAAAGGAGAGATCAAGGACAGAGTATTCTCCACCAAAATACATCTGGTGCTCCTCCTGTCATAAGCGCAAGTGCAATTTTTTCGTCGATTTTGACTGCGCTTTAATGGAACCTGTAAAATGTGAAGAAGGGGAATTGCACATTCAACATATTAGTCACCAACATCCAATGCCACTCGTTGAGATCTGCTTCAAAGAAAAAGTAATTTGCTTCGTTAATTTTTGTGTGTTCTTACTTTTTAATTGCTCTTAACCGTGATTTTAATCATAAAAACTCATGCAAATCATTTTGAAACTTGTTATATTTATATTGATGAATTTTTACCGTGCTCTAACTTATGCTTGTGCGAAATGCGAGTATGACGGAGGTAAGACACCCTTCCCATCCAAGCCACAATGTCTTCCTCGATATCGACCATGAAAAGCACATCGGTTGCAAATTATGTGAGAGAAAATGTTGTTTTTTCATTTTCAAGTGCTCTCGATGCAATTGGAACATGTGCAAAGACTGTTATTTGCTGCCCAAAAAAAATTACTCCTCGTGATCAGTTTGTTTCTTCATTCTCATCATGATCACCCTCAAGATCTCACCCTCTCCTTAAGTAGCAGTCCTAATACTGATTATGCAGAGTTTACGTGCAAGTTATGTCACGTAAGCTACAAAAAGTAGTGCGCCTCGCTACATTTGAACTGCTACTGCATGTGGTTTTGTTGTTGATGTCGAATGCGCCTTGACACCTTCCATAACGCGTGAAGGTGACGGGCACGGGCACTTTCGATATTTCAACCACCAACATGCAATCACTCGCAGCGGCGGATTTAAGTACAATTCAGTAGAGGCTACCGCCCCCACTCAAAATTTTTTTTTAAAAAATATTACCTTGAAAAATTTTAAAATTTTACATTTAAACCCCACTAAGATAATTTGTTAAAACAAATTTAGTGTACGCCCCTATTAAAGTGAAAGACTGGCTCCATCACTGATCACTCGTGGTGAAGAAGATCGATGTTGGTGGGGATGAAAATTGCTTTGCCTGCGATTTTCCCAGCGAAAGGGGTTTAGCTTATTCATGCACAACATGCAATTTCTTTCTTCATAAAGCATGTGCAAAGTTGCCACCAAAACTCCACTATCCAATTAGGCACAAACATTCTATTCTAACCCTACTTCCACACAAAGATTTAGGTCATGGAAGCTTCTGCAGTTCAACACCTTCTTTATTTGGTGGAGAAAATACATGATACAAACCTTGAGTGCAATGCCTACGATGACTATTGTAAACTACCATTAACCTCCGTTGAACTTTGCTCTACTGAGTCCGTCATGTATCGTTGTGTTGAATCATATTGTGGTTTCCAAATCCACTTTCTTTGGGGACCATTGCCACCTACCATTGACACCCACTTATTCTTGTTGGCTCAGTTGTTGAGGAGGATTTTGATGAATATTATTGCGACGTTTGCGACGAAGAAAGAGATCCAAAA